CAGCAGAAATAGAGTTTATAACTGAAGAGGCAACTGTTTCTGCTATCTCTGAGCTTCCCTCTTGCCAATCACGGTACGTTAAAAATAGCTCCAGTATCTCCTTAGGATTTACATAACCTAATATTTGAAAGTTGAAGGGCACAGCCAAAGTAATCCCGTCACCACAATCTCCATGTTGATGATAATCAGCATATAATAATATCTAAGAATCAATTCATCACTGGCATTACTAATCCAGTATGGATTATTTAGGTCATGTTTAACAGGAGGGCTAGCAGAAGTCATCTAGCAAAGCTGCATTAGCAACAAAACATTAATCCAGTAAACTGTAACAAGCAAGCTTACCGGAAGTCGAAGAAGACGATGGTTTTCTAACTAAAATGTCGGTCAAGCTATTCTCTACCGGCGGTGACTTCAGTATCGGCGTTGCCTATAATTAGACATTCAAAAATAACCAAAGAAAATAAGCTCTGTTAGTCTGCTAAGTGAGACACCAGGATATCTAATTAGCCAAAAATATATATGCATAAAAACGAATCCCTGATTGTTCTTTTTCCTTTTTTTTTTTCCTTTAATTGGAGAAAATTATAAACGACTCTCACAATTTTCAAGGATTTGAGTCTCTCCAAAATGGGATCCAGGGTTTCTGGTCGCTGCGCAACAGTGGTGATCCCTTCACCCGTTCCCTACATACGCAATTATGGAATAAACAGACGCATATCAGCGAGAAGGCAACAAAATAAAAATCAACGGAGCTGTGAGGGGTTTACCTGTGAACCTGCGAGCGTTGAATCTGAGGTTCCCATTGATGGTAATCTCGAATTTTCGTTTACTCTGGAGATTTCAGTTAAAACACGAACACATCTGAGAAACGTAACGGAGTTCGGCCGATTGCCACTTTCTGCTTATCGCAGGGAAGAAGATGAAGGAAACGTGTGCCAGTACCCGCAGATTTTTACACGCCGTTGAAGTGTTAACGTCTGTCCTTTCGTTTCCGGTACTTGGGAATCATCAGCGACTCAGCTTGCAGTTTTCTCTTGAACCGGCAGGACAATTGGTTCGGCTGAATCGGTTTAAATGTTTAAAATAAGTTACGAACCGTTTTAACTAATATTTTTGTTAAAATTTTACCATGCACTATTTAAAAATATAAAAAGCTATAATTTAATAGGAATACAAATGTGGAATATTATGTGTCATTGTAAGTAAATTTACACAAAAATGTTGGGTTATAATTACATAATAAATATTTATATAATTGAGTTGAAAGATACATATAACAGTAAATATATTATTTCCCATGTCAATTATGTTATAAAATATAAAAATGTAAGATGTTATAAATTAAATTTAAAAAATAATGGAAGATTATGGATTATTTTTGTATTAAGTTTTAAAAACGGTACTTTGTAATTTTTATATAAGAGAAAATAATGAAAATGTCAATTACATCAAATTTGAAAATTTTTATGTTAATTTCTAATAAAATAATGTAGGGGTATTTATGAGTTTGAAGATAGATCAAATTGAATAAATAAGTGACGAAGGGTGGATCAAACTAAATTGTGTGTGTGTGTGTGTGTTTTTTTTTCATTCAATCTGGACTGAAGTGAGTCTATTTTCTTTAATAATGTATTAATTATAAAATTAATAAAAATAAAAATAAGTTCAAAAAAGTATTTTTTTTTTAATTTCTTTATATTTTTAA